AAGGATTATATTACTTGGCTCCACCAATTCCATGGTTAATATTAAAGTTCATCTAAGTTTTAAGAGGTGTACCAGAACACAGAAAAGGTCTTTATTTACATTGTATGTAAGGAAACAATCTGTAGATATATTAACAAAGTGGTTAAGCAGAACAAATCATAAAATTTTGACAAATAAGTAATAATAAACCGTCTTTTTATAAAATGAGAATTAAAGTTAGTACTTGGTTTAAACAATTGGCCGTCTACAGTAAATTGTCAATGACAGAAGAGAGAACGTCAAATCGAGACGTATTGACTTATTTTCGTCGAATAGTTGTTTAAGCCTGATACTAAAGTTCGGCCTTTTTCTATAATAAGACGGCTGAAGTTCAAAAATAACATTACCTACCTACCTATCCTTCTAGTTCTTTCGATTCGTGATCCGGGAGAGTTATTTCTAGATAAATAAGACAAACGCACCTAAATCCTCAATTGTTTTGATAGTTTTTATTCAAACTTCTAAAATTTAAGTAGGAACTTTTTTAAATAATCCCAAAATTTGATTCAATAGCTCTCAGGTTGAATTTTTCTGTTTTTGAGACAGACAAACAGAAAAATTATGAGAATGAGAACAGAAAAATTACTACTACTACTACCTATGTACTACCATAATTTATATAGATTATTGCTATCATTTTAAAATTTATAATTTATTAGTTTAACTTAAAACAAATTAATGACAGAAAAAATATTATTATTATAAATTTTAAAAGTTCCTTTCAATTAAAGATAATGTTTATTTACGTCCTCGCGATAATTTATTTCTAGATATAAATATATAAATCTCGTAGACAATTGTGCTGACTGGCATACCTTTACTGAGATCTCGCCGTAATACAAGCAATTTATATAAACAAGGGATAGTTAATGTATTCATATTAATATCAATAGTAAACGATAACCAACTCAAGGGATGGGTTAGCCCTTACCCTTTGAATGTTTATTTAAAACAGATTTGCATTTAAATTTAAATTGTGCGAACCACAACGTGGTCACTGTAAGCGATGACCTGCAGAATTAAACGCACGATAAAACTTTATTGATTTGGGGAAATAATCTGTTAGCGTTGTCACGCGGTCGGAGCTTCGACATTAGCCAGTTCAACTGTGACGAAATCTCCCGTGACGTACTCATTATTCAATGTTGATTCTGTGAAATTGCTTCTCACCTCGAATTTTTCACAATACTTTTAAACTGTTCTAAACACTTTTATTAACTTACTACATGTACTATACCGTTTGGTTACTTCTATATGAATACAAAAGATATTTTTTTGACTAAATTTATATGATTAATTGAATGATCTATCGATAAAGATGCACTTTATGATGTCTCTGTTAACAAAATTTCGTGCATTGTGGGATCTCGGTAGTGGACCTACCACGTGGAGTCCGAAGAAAACAGTGCCGCGCCGTCCTTTTTTGGAAACATTTCGGCGTTAAAGTTTTTTATTTTGTGGCGTCTATCATCAAGTTCATTATAAGTATCAACAAAATGATCTCTATCATTCATTTGATGGGTACGAATCAATTAGGGAGAACGAAACTTAATTCTAAAATATAACAAACAATATATTAGATATGAACGTGTTACGTTTATAAGTCTACACATATGAACCCATTATTTTTTCGTATTCATTCAAATCAGCTAAGTATTTGATCCCATAATATACATAGCCAAAACGGTCATAATATCAGCCTAATCTAAATTCAGCATTCGAAACATCTGACAAATTATATTCGAGATAAATTCGCATTGAACAAAACGCGCTAAACGTGACATGAACCGTAAAAACTAAAATTATTTCGAGCGAGACGCGGGCGCGGCGCTACCATTAAAAATCTCGATAAAAACATCACAAGAAAACAATAACGCTCGTCTTCAGTTACCAATCCAAAATGAACAAGATGAAGCTAAAAAACAAGCTTGTTATATTCAATTAGTTTCCGAACGGTGCCCAAGTCAAAATCATAAAGAGGGCTGTATAGTTTCGAGCGCCCGATGAAGGAGAATCCGGTTTGAAAAACACAGCTTGCGGTCTCGTAGAGCGGTTAGCAACATCGATATTACTGCAATATTACAGTTAAAGTAAACAAACAACATACTGCGCATCATCAGAAGTCGACAATCGAAAGAAAGCAACATAAACTGTAACGTTTTAGAAATAAGACAGAGTTTCGTCTATAAATATTAACGGGGTTTGACCGTACCTAAACAAAGGTCAAACCCTAATGGTAGCGAACTGAATATTTTAGTGAGCTAAGGATCCCTTAAACGTAAACCGTCATCAATTTCAGTTTTTAAAATAAAAATAACTCACCGGTAACAGAGTAAAAAATAATTTCAGTGAATAAAAAATAATTTCAGTGAAATTATTTTTGTTAATAACGTCGTAAAACTTGTTATTTAAAGTATTTTTTTTTACTCATTTACGTATTTTAATACACTGAAGTAGGACAGAGCACAATTCAATAATTTTATTAAGAATCGGAGCACAAAGTCTATATTTTATTCACATAATGTGACGAAAAAAGTATAAAAATTAAATTAGTACGAAGCTCACGGAATGATCTACTTGAAGTTCGCATCTCGGTCGCGGCGGCTGTTACAACTTTTTTTCTGTCGTGACCAGTCATGTGTTCAGTTCCTCCACTGCGACTGGTTTTTTTTTGTGATATTTAATTACGCGGTCATCGTACGGTGCAACTTGACCTGTGCTACTACGTAATATATTCAAACTTCGAATATTTTTTGTTAGTAATTCAAACAGTAACATGACATAACACGTAAAATGATTAGAACAGTTACAAAGATTAATAAGAACAGTTTACTATTCATTTGAATATTTAAAAAATTACTATACTAGCAATTTATGCAGATACAGTTTTCATAGTTAATTACAACAACGACACTTTAGTCAATGCATTTTCGTATTGAAAAGTCAAAGTCAAAGTTGCAGTGACAACAGCTAACTGATAGATAGCTAGGCTCAGTATTTACATGGTATTTACTACCACTTCATTTTGCTTATTAATTAATTTCCCAACAAAAAATATTGTTGATCTTTTCCCTTTAACAGTATTCTTGAACCACCTAAAAAGGAAAGATTCTCAGCATCTGTCTCCTTATTAACAACTACGTACAACTCTTCAACGCGATGTTACCGATTTGAATATATTTAGCGGGAAAGATAAATAAATTGCCTATGCCTCCGAGTTGAACCCATTTAAATATGAAAAAAGCTTCCCCTATGAGTACAACAAAGAGGAATAATTGACCCTGATGCTGTTGAAATCTAATATACCAGATTGTGTTAATGGTTCTAGAATATAAATGAAACATTTTTATAAGAAATTAAAGTAACTTAGGTAACAAACAGAAAATTAATTAGATATTTACTTGTCTTAAAAAAGAAGTTGAATTATATTATTTATTTTGTATTTAGTAATTTCATCACATTATCACGAAATATTTGTATCAGATTTATTATTCTTTTGATGGAAAAAATATGTTTATCTATAAATACATTATTCTATTAAGCAATAAAAAATATAAAATACAATATCAAAGCGAATCATTTAGAGCATTCAAATATCATTCGATACGATTTAAAAGAAGAAAATCTGAGGATTTAACATAAAATTCTAAGACAAAAACTTCTTAAGATTTGTACCTCGAGAGCATACTTGAGCTAAAGGTCCACGTGATTTCGATTATTCGTTATAGAGAACGTTTCACAGTTCATATTTCCGGCTCTTTAGTTTGAAATTTAAATTAAAAGAGTTGGTTCATTATTTTAATAGAAATTAAATATAGCTGATATCGCTTAGTCTAGATATAGATCAGTTGTGCATCTCCGGACCTTCGATGGAGAAAGCATTGCACTTCCTCGCCTGGGTATGAATCAAATGTTCCTGAGTCGCACCCCCAATCGACAGAGGGACCAGCCCTGCAAGCCCATTATCTCATCGCTACGTTTTAGTGGGTATGCATCTGCTTTTGGACTAGCCCTCCTTATGGGAGTCCGCAGGGCTCCGCAGTAATGCATTTCGTAGCGTTAAAAAAGGAAGACATTGAATACATGAAACTCTAAAAATGTATAATTGAAAAAGTTTTTTTTTTATCTACCTATGTAGTTTAGGGGCAAAACCAGAGGAAAGGAAATATTTTTGACGCATGACAATTATTTTTTCTTCTGTGTTAAACAGTTTTCTTAAATGGTTCTATTTTTCACAAACACATTGAAATAAATGAAATTCATTTCTTTCAGTTATATTAAGATTAAAAAAACATCCTTTCCTTAATTTTAATTACAATAATTGAAGCATAGTGTTTTTTCATGATACATGTGGTTATCAAATGAAAGGATTTGCTAAGAAAACTTCAGTCTGAACCCAATAAGGCGAATCACCCAAAATGACGGAGAAGTCATCTTAAAACATATACATAATAATTACATTATATATGAAATTACTAATGAAGATTTGTTGAGGAAAAATTAGGTTTAATTATAACAGTTTTGTTCGTTATTTTTTAACAAGAATAGATCAACTTATTTCTTTTAGGTTTAAATAAAATTTTCTTTCTTTTCAGAACCTCAGCATATAACCTAAAACCTAGAAGATTTCAATTTTAAAGTTAAAAGTATATATAGTTCATATTGCTTGCAAAAAAATATAGCGTACAATCACCGTTGGCGTTGTTACGAAAGTTTGTCGGCCTGAGTGACTCAGTGACGTGACTTTCATTTACGTGGCTACAACGTTCTTGGAAAAAGGTTGTTTCTGAACTTCCATAGTGAATCACTATAATTATTACTAATGTGACATCCGCCCTAATATGACACATTTAACTTAGAACAGGTAAAAAACCAACTACAAACTTAATTTGTTCGTATTATAGACAACAAAGACATTTCATTGTTGTTCTGTTCACTATAAATTTGCTTTTTTCTTTCAGATGGAATAATGCGGTTGCGTTCGCTACTGAATTGGTGAGATTCTTCTATAAACTCTTTTTAAAAACGTTTATCAAATTAGATTTTCTAGTATTGTGTTCAAGGTACATAATAAAAATAGAAAGTGTTCTTTAAACCGATCTCTGTTTCTGATGAAGCGCAAGTCGGACTCGCGCACGAACGGTTCCGTACCGAAAACGACCAAAAAATCACATTGGTTGTCAAGCCCCCCATCAAATATTTTAATGTAACTATATAAATAGATAATCTGTATATATTTCAAGCGTGTACCTGTTGTCGTTATCAATATCGAGCAAAGAATCATGTTTTTTGTTTGGAAGCCCCTTAAATATTTATTTTATTCTGGTTTTTATTTGTTATTGAAGTGTCAACTGAAATACATCATCAGTGAAAATTTCAACTATTTAACTTTACGGTTTATGAGATACAGCCTGGTGACAGACAGCGAAGTCTTAATAGGGTTCCCGTTTTATCCTTTGTGCGTGGAACTCTAAAAAAAGACATTTACTTATTACGCTAGCGAAAGCCATATTTGTCTGGTGAAGTAAGTTTCAGTACTAAAAGCTCTTATCCCCTTAACTTAGAGCATATAATCGAAAAATATATCCTTGATACTTACATTAGCAATCAACATGTTTTGGTAACGGGCTTTACTTTTGTTTCTTTGCCCTAGAGAAGTTATTCAAAGCGATTTTATATACGGCTGAAATGTTTCATAAACGTAGGTAAATGAACACCTTTTTTTTAGAAAACCAGTGTCTGAATAAAAATATTCGTTTCAAAGGGTCGTCGTTGTTTAAAAACATGACTACGCTTAAATAATATTATATTCAACAGTTATTAATATCTAAACATCCTTTTCCTTTGAAGATTATGTGAGTTTTACTAAAGGGTATGTTTCATATATCTATCAGAGAAATTATGTTTCTATAGTATTTCGTATAGTCATATAGGTATATTGCCCAGCATGTATGTTGAAACAAAATGGGGGTTTCCCGCAAAGCTATAGTCATGGACTATACCGCCATATCCCATCCCATAGAAGCAATTTCCATTTTGTCTTGAATATTTTTTTCTTTCCGTAAGAAGCTTATTCAAAGAATCCAAACTATTACGAAAATTAAAAAAGAAATAGATAATACGCCTAGCAACAAAATTTCATTTATCATAAAAAATAACAAATATTAGTACTACTGCAGATGGGGATTATGTTTTACGATTATTTACCTAATCTAGAATCACGGTAGTGGTCCACCAAGACGAACCAAAAAAAGTGAAGGACACTACCAACGACTTTTACCCGAAACGCTTCGTCGTTTTTAAGACATCATCATTATCACCACTTTTACGTACCCCCTACTGGGGCTCAGGCCATCCTTATGGATGGATAAGGAGGAGTGGCCATGACCCTCCACGCTGGCCCAATGCGGATTGGAGGGTATTAACAACTGCAAATGGAGCCGAGACCAACAACTTAACGTGCCTTCCGAAGCACGGCGTTTGAATTTATATTAATTTTCAACACCGACAATCATTCAAGCGAACCAAACTAACAAATCATAAATAAAAAATATAATATGGTTTAATCAGTAAAATTTTAAAACCATGACTGTTTCATTTGTGGTCTTATTAATCTATCACTTAGTTATTTGATAGTATAACAACCAGTTTTGATAACATTTAACATTCATTTTGTTTGATCACTATCACACGAGTACAGTGAACCAAATTACAAAACCATACCATCCATCTTACAATAAATATGTAGATAATACCGATAGTAGGTTCATATTTCTACTTAGATACCATCGCCATATATAACTTTTCCCTTGAATTTCTTCTTTCCGTTAATAATTCCAGTATAAAAATTATCATCGTAAAAACTAAACTACCAGCTAAACTGCGGAGGGATAGATGGACAGACTGCCAGATATAGCGAACTCTAAGGATTCCTTCTTGACTATGGAACCCTAAAAATACCTTAAATATTAGTAAAACATGAACTTTTCTAATTGTTTATCTAATTAAATTGAATTGAGTATGGGTGATTAGCCTCTGCCCTAAACGGACCGAGACAAATCCACAAATTGCGACTTCGCGGGAACTGACCGGAGTAGCTGTTTCCGCAATTCAAACGGTCACGCACGAATCATAAAGCAGTTATATATTTTAACTTGAAATATAAATAACTAAATTAAAAACTAAAGTAAATTATAGCATACGTTACCCGCGTACGATGTAGCTTCCCGAAGGTGAAATAATTTTCTTGGACTTACATATATAGAAAATCTATTTTAATATGAGAATAGATTTGGTCAGTGGTATATTTTGAGTACCCTTAAATTAAATGAAAAAAGCAAAAGTTTTTTTGGTAATAAACCGAATGAATAATCCGGGGGCCAGTTTGCGAGAATATCATTATCGTCAAATTATTTAAAAAAAAAAACTGAAACAATACTTATGTGTCACTCTGGACCATGTTTTGTTTTTCGCCTTAGATTGAATAATTCCTTAAATTTAATTACTTATATTTAACAAACCCCGGTTCACCGTGTTAAAATTATGGAGAAAAATCAAGTAAGTAATAAGATTTTTGATTGCTTATAAACATACTTTGTTTCTACAAGTCACTTATAATTAGTTTTTATTACTTTTATTATAGTCAACTGAGGTAGTTTACATCCTTGATCCAATTAAATCAAGACAGTAAATATTTAATCAGAACGACAATAAACACATTTTTAAATCTTTTGAAAATAACAGTGTAAACAATGCACTTTTATAATAAATATAATATATTATCAACCGAGATGTACGATAGTTCGAAGACCGAGGATTCACCACAGAGAAATTTATTATTTTTTCATTTCCTATCAGAACGACACAGTATGTATATTGTTAATGTTCATAGTGGAAATAATAGATGTTCCTGGGGAAATGAAAATGCTTTGATTTGTTTTCTTTGTTACATCATTCACAGCCTTATTTACGTAAAAGCCTGGGCTTGTACACTGAAATCCAATTTTCGATGTTTTTCGAATGTCTATCAACTTCTTCGTGCTCGTGTTAGGACATGTCAATGTATGAAAAAGTCCGGGATATATCAAGATAGGATCAGGAGTCCAGGATAAGTCGTAAATAAACTAAAATTTTATATATTAACTCTTGTATGCGGGTATATTATATCATATTAATCATGTATAGTAGTATTAATCATATAGTATATCATAATTCTATATTAGGAAATGACAGACCAGGACCAGGAGTCCAGGATTGATAAGTCGTAAATAAATTTAAATTTATATTATAGTTCTTGTATACGGGTACATTAAATCATATAGTAGTCTATCTATATTAGGTAATGACACTTTCTGTTATGACGTTTGATATGGTTTGTGGGTGAATAATTATTACAATAAGCTTTGAATCGTAAGTCAATAAAGTGCTTCTAAGATGGCGTATATTATAAAATGTAATACATTAAGATCATAATTTGTAAATACAATATAACATCATTATTTAGAGAGTGCTTGGATTTTCTTGGCGAATGTTAAATTAATTTTGAATTACCATTTAAGATAAACGGATCATTATTTAATATTATGAGAATATTTGTGCTTATACCGATATACATTATTATAACAAAACTCCTGGGTAACGTTTCACAGTCATATTTAGTTCAACACATAAAAATCGCACGCCCACACAAAATCCCACGCGTTACTGGTAACCATCTCCTTTGCTTTCTTAACAAGATTCAACAAACAAGACGATACAAAGCATTTTAAATATGGTTTTGAATTTTAAAAGCGATTTAATTATTATATCGTAGTTAGAGGTTTAAAATCAATAAAACGACCATACACCGATTTTAACTGTAGTTTATTTTGACCTTTATCCATTTTTTTTCAATAAGATTTGATAATTAATATTGATTACTGTATGCCGGCTAATTCGACATGCTTAGAGTGAAAAATAAAACTTTGTTTAGGGAAAATATTCTGTTCTCCTTATTTTATGTAAGAGGTGACACGATGTACACCGCATAGTATAGTAATAATATTATATAAATATGTACAGACTGACAATATTTTAATTTGACAAAGAAGTAATATGGATATTGTCGACTTTTGTTACAATAAAGTGTTTCAAAACGAAAAGGAAAACTACTATTGGTGTTTTATATTCAACTTCTACCAACGATTACATTTTTTACAGGCTTCAAAAAGTGAGGAGGTTCTCAATTCGACTGTACGTTTTTTTTGTTTGTTATACAATTACTCCGCCAATTATTAATTGATTTTCGACATTCTTTTTTATTCGACAGCTTAATGGGACTATGAGTTCCCTTTTAAATTTTATTTTATTCAATAATTTAATAAATGTAAACGTTTCCATATTTTTTTTGTATTGTGATTGTGTTCAATAGTATTGTTTTGAAGGTAGCTATACTCTTAATTAAAAGACAATCAACACTTTAGTATTATATGAACACGAAATCAGTAAAGGGTCCGAAACGTCATAAAAGAAAATACAAACTCGATGAAACCGTTTAAAGTTGTTTATTATTATAAACAATTTTAAACGTATAAACAACTTTAACTGTTTATTATTTTAATTATTGCGTACTTTGCATTCATTCCAAATCTAAATGGAGTTTCAATGATAAACGGATATATACCTTTTTATGCAATTAGACACATGTGTTCACCGATTTCTTCGTGGTTATGTCGTGTAAATATATAAAAATTTCAGGACTTTTTTTTATAAATATAATATCTTTTATCTAGATATTCAATATTTTAGTGATATCTATAAAATATATTTACGTGTAATACCTATATAAGTATGACTAAAAAAATAATGACATAAAAACGTTTACTTATCTTAAAACCGGTAGAATTTTTCAAGAAACATTGTTGTTGAGAAACAATATCATTTAAAAAACTACAGAAAACCCCACCCCTCTTTCCATTTAAGTTAATACCGCTTTTAATATTATTTTTCACTTTTTT